TAAAAATTTTTAACTCTGTGCCTATATTGACTATATATAAAGTGTTTTCCCCACGGCACACCTTACACTATGTCACGGCACACTAGTGTGCCGCGACACAGTGGTTGAAAAACACTGGGTTAGATAACTGAATTCTTGCCTACTTCAAGGTGGTATCTCTGGCTTGTGTCTCCTGTCTCAGGTACATCTTTGCAAAAAATCTCTTTGAGATTGGCCACATGACTGAGATTGAGTGGATCATTTACCAGGATTGGCACACTTTCCTCCTGCAAACCTTTGGGGACCAACTTGCCCTCCATGGCTTTCTTTATCTCCAGGCCCCTCCAGAGGTAATGGAAAGGAACTGTTTTATGTTCTGTTCCAAGCTTTCTCTCTTCTCATTACTGTTCTTTGCTAGTCTTTGGTGTACTTTCATAATGATGTGTCTCCTGTTTGAGCTCTTCTTCCTAGCTGACGCCTGTTTCAACCGCCTTCAACCCATGTTCTGTGCCAGGCATTAAAAACAAACAAACCTCAGGTTCCTCCAATTCCTGCATTTCTGTTCTAACTCAAAATCTGGTAGAATAAATGCTAGACTGTGAAACCAGCAGTACATACCTACCCCCACCCCCATCCCTCGTTAGGTTTTTAGCAAATTGGACCTGGCAGGAGCAACAGCCAGTCTTGTGAGAAACTCAGCAATCCAGTTAGAGCCCCTTGCAGAAGAGATCCCTTCTGTTCCTTTTCTTCGAAGCAGCTGTAGGGTGGGGGGAGCTTAGTACCCTGGCAGGAAGCCTCCAGTAATCGGTTGGGCAAAAGTTCCCAGAACTTTGGGGCATCTTGGGATGGTTAGCAAGGTTGTTTTCTCATTTCTAGGTGTGCTTTGAGAGACTGCGCTGCCGATCCAGGCCTGAAGAGAAGGAGGTCCAGCTATCTTACCTGGAGCAGCTTCACGTCCAGCATGAAAACTGGCTTGTAAAAAAGACTTCTGTGTGGGTCCCAGCAGGGGCTATTCTCCACCATGGCTGACATGACCATGGCCTGCTTTCTGGGAAGGATGTTCATGGAGGCAGCGGGGGAAGAGTCCTAGGAATAGTGCCATGGGAGAGGGTTGTAAATGGGGCAGGGGAGGAAGGTTGGGGGAGAAGGACCACGGCAATGTGAAAAAGAAGGGACTACCTGAAAAGAGCTTGGAAGTAGGGTCTGGAAGGCCACCCAAACTCTGCTTATGCCAGCTGAAAGGGGAAGGACTTTTCCACTCCAGACCCGAGACTCTGCAGGGAAGCCTGCATGTCCAGCTGAGCCCCACGATGGGCACAGTGTTCTTGGCCAAGAGCTGTGATCACAAGTGAACATGATTTTGGCTTAGGACATGAAGAGACACTCAGCAGTCCACACAGGCATCAATTAAATCAAAAATATTTTCATTAGTGAATATATTTTTATTCCCGTAGGAGCCATTCTGGAGCTCTAAGAGATGTGCCTGTCTTGATTCTGGATGTCACAAAGGATTTCGAGAATGATCCAAATGAACAAAGCAAGCTTATAGGCCAGGTAAGACATGTTGGTTAAAATAAGAAAGAATTGGTAGAGCATGAAAAGGGCACTAATTCATTGTTGTTGTTTTTTATCAATGCACTTTATTCATTAAACCAAACAGAATAGTGGCCAGCTGGACACCTTGAACAGGATGAAACGGCCTGCTTGAATGTGGTTTAAAGCTTGCTGTCCCCATGCCAGACATGTGGCAAATCATTTCTTTTTTAAATAACCCTACAGTTCAGCTTGTCAGAAGTGGCCATCTTGTATAGGGAACACCAACTTCCTCTCCAATCAGTGCATTTATTTCATCCACAACATGGGTGAAAGAAATGGGGAACAACAGAGATGTTGCATTTGGAAATCCCCCACTTTGAAACTATTCCTGCTTCCCACCTGGGTGTCCAGAGGCCATTAATGCCCCCATTCTCTGTTTGATATGAACAGAACTATGGCTAAGAGAAGTTTGGAGTTGGAGTTTGGAGTTTATTCAATTTGTAGGCTGCCCTATTCCCTGAAGGGACTCACTACAAGCCATAATTAAGGCTCTGCCTCATATTCTCATTGTAACATACGGGTTTGCAAACTTGTCAGTTCTGGTTTCCCTTAGTTCTTTTTAAAGGGTCTTTCTCTTTTTCACAGGTGAATTTTTTTATGAAAACTCTCTGTTCCAATTCTTCGCCTTCTATCTCTACCACAGTCTGCAACTGAAGGGAGTTGGATTCTGCAACTGAGAGCTGCTTGCTTAATACTAAGGAAGCCATGTGAGTGGTCTGCCTCTTTCCATCCAGGCAGATACCAAACTCCAGGCAGATCAGAGAGCCTAGCAAAGGCTGCTGGCCCCAGTAGGAAGAAGAAGCCTTTTGGAGCTATCCTATGGCCAAAGGCAGGGGACCGTCCTGGGCCCAGCAGAGGGCCTTAGATGCATTCCTCAGGCTGCCTGGGACTGCAAGAAAGGTGGGCAACGTCTTTGATGGACCTGCTATCCGTCCTGCTGAACTCTGCCCACAGGAGTCAAACTGCAGCTGTGGACCAGCTTTGCCTGATTAGCTCCCTCCCTTCTGCTGCTGAATTTCTGGCACCCATCTGACATGGAGTTACATCATTACCATCTTGTGCCCTTTAGCTCACTATCATCTCATGAGTCCTGCTCCCAAACGTCTTTTCAAACATCTCTTTTCCCAAGTCTTGAATGCTTCTTGAGTGCAAGTGTGGCTCCTCACTTCCCTCTCTTGTGGCTTCAGCCAAATTGGCATGTCTATTGCATTCTCATAGTAAAGGGAGAAATCATTTACAAATAGGTTTTCTGGGTCAGGGTTTGTAAACTTACATCTGATTGAATGCTTTGTTGGAAGTGATGCTGCCGCATGTTCCTGTAAGACTACTGAGTCACTCATAGGCTTGCAGGGCAGCGTCTTCCCTCTCCTGCCTCATCATACTGATGACTTGTTGGTTTTCTTTTTGTAGGCCACACTGACTTCCTGTTTGGTCTTTATCAGGAGTGGTAACTGGGCATTTATTTTCCCTGTGGACCATGACAAAACACTACACGTCCTGAAATTCTTTTTGACTCAATCTTGGGCTTTTGCTACACCTGGCAGTTGTTTTCTGATCCAAATATTTGCACTGTCCCAGACCTACCTACTACACAATCTGTGGGGTTTTGTGGACAATTCTGAAGAACAATTGGCCCCACCCTGTTGCTTTCTTCAAAGGCCCTAAAGATGTGGTCTTGTCAGTGAGCCCAGGGACCCCAAATTAATTGCTTTTTTAGCCAAACGCTGCCTTTGTTAGGCACTGCTCTTGATTAGGAAAGCAGGGCTGTTTTTCTGAATTTCATGTCCTGGGTAATAAAATGAACTGACTGAAAGTGTCCAGTTCACTGATGCCTAAGATCATGATGTGTACAGGTAGTCCTCGACTTAAGACCATTCATTTGAAATTACTGTGGTGGGGAAGAAAGGGGCTTACAACCCGTGCTCAAAGCTGCAGCCATTGTAGCACCCCTGCAGCCACATGATGGTGATCAGGGCTCTTGGCAACCCACAACCCAGGGGGTTGGACTAGATAACCTCCAAGCTCCCTTCCAACTCTGGTACTGTTACTATCTTACCTGAAAGCTCAGAAAGTTGATAGGGAAGGGACCTTTCTCTATGCAGCCTGCTGCCTCCCCTCCCTACCCTGGGCTAGAGGGAAGGCTTTCTGCCTGGAGGAACAAAGCATCTCTGCATAGCTGCTACCTCCCCCACCCCCTTGGGCTAGAGAAAAAGAATGGCTAACTTTCTAGTGCACCGCAGGAAGGAAGCCAGTAAACTGGACCAGTGCAAGGAAGCTTGGATCATTGGAATGACCCTTTCCCTGGCCCAGCAGGATGGCTCTGCATGGAGGGAAGCTGCCTGCCCCTTTCAGCAGCAGCTCCTTCCTTCAGTTTAACCACCATGCAGTCACTTAGCTACTGCACCTGGGAGGGCAGGGCCTATTACAGCTTAGGACTGTTATTCGGCATGTTCCATTATGGTCATAACCTGAGAACTCTAAATCCATTCTTCACAACGCTGAGTTTTCCCATACAAGCATACAAGTCCTTGACTTACAACCATTTAATGACTTCAAAGTTATGACTATATTTAAAAAAGTGATTTACTGCTGGTCTTTGCACATGGTCACATGATCAAATTTGGCTACCTGGCAAATGACATGCATTTATGAGGGTCCCTAGGGCCTCCCAAGAAGCAAAGTCAGCTGGGAAAGCCAGGTTTGCTTAACAATCATAATTCATTTAATGTCCACAATAAAAAAGCTTGTAAAATTAGATACGACTTACTTAACCGCATCATTGGCAACAGAAATGCCAGTACAATTGTCATTGTAAATCAAGAACTGCTGTTTCTTGCCTGCCATATTCCCACTGTAATTCTGTCTGCAGCTTTTGGGGAGGGGTTTTTCCTGCAGAGCAACATGACGGGCAGACCTCTAAAAAGCTTTAATCTAGTCCCATCATAAATGCCAAAAGATCCTCCACTCTTCTTCAATGGTGTGTTGAATGCCATCTGACCAGAGGGATCCATTCATTGCTTTATTTGTCCATTTGGTTAATGCAGGGGGGGGCTCAGCCCCCGGGCCATGGCTCATTCGGAACCAGGCTGCGCAAGCGGCAGGTGAGTGTGCACACATAGCTCCATTATTTGCTTGAGTGGCAGGCATTCATGTGCCCACCGTTTGCGCAAATGGGCCCCTGTTGCTCACACACAGCCATTTCCCCACACACACACCAGTCCGCAAAGCTGGAAAGGTATTATACTCATTACAAAATAGATAGAAACCCATCTATCATATGGCATACTGTCACCTATCATACTGTCAATCACTTCTCAATTCCCATGGTTTTGTTAGTTAAAAAAAAAGGTTTGAAAAGCCATCTAGTGAGTTTATCTTTATTCCTGAATAAAAGATATTAAATATAAGAATTTAAAGAATGAGAAAAAGCTAAATAAGACACTTCTAAGAAAGTTTCAAATAAGGAATAAGAAAAATTCAAAATATTGAGACTTTACTATAAGATTTTGGAAATAATTACATAAAAACAGCTTTTCATGGGAACTACATTTTTTGTTCTATTGTAAATCAAAACAGGAATTCAACTTTATGATTTAAAAAATTTGAACACTAGAGGTCACTAAAGATTCCAGACCAGTAAAAAGAAAAAAAAAAGTTTGTCAATTGTTTTTGGTTAGTAGCAAAGTTTATAAAATGACACAAAATGTCAGCACATCTTCCAGAGATATTTGAAGAATGGGATCAGAAATTAATAGCTATATTGTCAGCAGAGATGTTTGCTTTTATAGACTATATTCCAGTGGTGAAATTCAACACTTTTTACTACTGTTTCTGTGGGCGTGGCTTGGTGGGCGTGGCAGGGGAAGGGTACTGCAAATCCCCACCCCTGGGGGAAAGATATTGCAAAATCTCCATTCCCACCCCACACGGGGGCCAGCCAGAGGTGGTATTTGCCCGTTCTCTGAACCACTCAAAATTTCCGCTACCAGTTCTCCAGAACTGTCAACCTACTGAATTTCACCCTTGCTATATTCAAAAGACGTTAACAAAAGAATGACAAGTATGAAAGAGTAAGAGATTACAGGATAAATTACAGGAACAAATTTTGCTCAATGCAGAATTATTAGAACCATAAATATTGGAAAATTGGAAAACCATGGACTGGAAGAGAAGACAACTAATGTAGACACATAAATTATAAGCCAAGAGAATGACTTGTTAAGGACTTACTACTGGATATACAAAAAGACTTACTAATTAAAATATAAATGATAAACAAAGAGAATGACCTGGATAATGACTTTTTATGAATTTACAAAAGAGATTTGTTGAAGCCTTTGGGATAAGACAAAAAAAAATTGATCAAGTCTTATGACAACATCGGAATAAATTAAAGATTAAGATTGTTAGAAATAAAGGGAAGGAATATAAAGCTGCGATAATCTTTTTTAAAAGTGCTTTTATTAGTTTATAAAAACATAAAATACAAAGAAAGATTAAAATAATGGGAAAATAAGAGGAAAAGGGGAAGAGGAAAAAGTGTAGGGTAAAAATGGGAAAAGAAAGAGAAGCATTGACTTTGATTCTTCTTTGCACAGTAGAATAAGATAACATAGAGCCTTAGCTTTTTGCTTTTACTGAGAATATATATTAGCCATTTCTATAACAAACCTATCTAATTGGTAAAACCCAAAATCAAAGTGTCATTTTACTCCCACCTCAAGCATAAATTCCAGAAATGGTTTTCACTTCTTGTCGTTAATTAAAGCAGTCAATTTAGCCATCTCTGCTAACTCCATCAGCTTTTGCAGCCATTCATCCATTGTGGGAATTAGAGTATCTTTTCATTTTTGTGTACAGAACATTATTGCTGCTGTCAACATATAACACCAAAGGTCCATTTTTTTCAAGTTCTTTGTCTATTAAATTCTGGTAACCTTTTACAGATTTTTGCTTACATTTGGACCAGTGTTGGGATTCAAATTTTTTTACTACTGATTCTGTGTGCATGGCTTTATGGGCATGGCATGACTTGATGGGTGTGGCTTGATGGGCGTGGCAGGGGATGGATACTGTAAAATCTCCATTCCCACCCCACTCCAGGGAAAGGTTGCTGTAAAATCCCCATTTCCTCCTGATCAGCTGAGACTCGAGAGGCAGAGAATAGATAGGGGCGGGGCCAGTCAGAGGTGGTATTTACCGGTTCTCTGAACTACTCAAAATTTCCACTACCGGTTCTCCAGAACTGGTCAGAACCTGCTGAATGTCATCTCTGAATTGCATTATTTTGCCATGTTCATTTGACATTGATACTGCCTGTAACGTACAAAATTCCTAAAGGCAAATTTAGATAAATTCTCAAACAACTCAGCCATACTTTCTGCAGTTAAAAGGCATTAGATTCTCAAGTCCTGGACCAACATAGTGCAAAACCAAACTGAAACAAAACTGGATAGGATCAAGAATCAGGAATGACACTGATTACTTGTCATACTATACTTCTTATAAAAGCTTCCAGTCTAAAATGCAAAATGCATGGAGTGAG